ACTCTAACAGGAATCGCCAGCCCATTGTTGCCTTAAAACCCTAAAACCCTGAACCATAGCCCGGCATACAACAGTCAACAGCTCCGAACCCGAAGCGGCCCGCAACCCACAAACCTAGCTTCAGGTGTCTTAGGGGTTCTTTTGGAATCTCTATCCATCTATCCATCTATCAATCTATCGATCTATCGGTCTATCGATCTATCTATCTATCTATCTACTTATCTAACTATATATCATCTCATCTCATCTGGTCTTATCTCAGCTCGGCTCATCTCATCGAATCTATCTATCTGTATAAATGAAAAATAAACATGTTTATGTATGGCGTTTTACGAGCCTCGGTGGCGAGACTGTCGCCTTGGAGTAATGTAATTCAGATACCTACTAGATGGGATAGCCGGGTGGTCTGGGGGGTGTAGGAGTTTAGGGCCTTTAATCAAGTTTGAATTAGACGATTTCGAAGCCGGTCTTAACCCTAAACCCCTAAACCCCTAAACCCCTAAACCCCTAAACCCTAAACCCCCTAAACCCCAATCTCCCATGAGGCCCCGAAGCTGAAACTACCGAAGATCCGACCCTGATATGATCTTCCGAAGCTTGCGTCCAAGAGCGATACTATAAGGACCTTAATAATTAGAACAGGGTTTAGGGTTTAGGGCGGGCCATAATAACTAGAATAGGGTTCCTTCAAAGGGTTACCTAGAAGGGTTATTATAAAGGTAGGCTTTAGTATAGGGGCCTTAATAATCAGAATAGGGTTTTGGGCCCAATATACTATAAATATCTGAAGGAACCCCCAAAATAGTATTGGTAATTATTAATGCCCCACAGCACAAGTGGCTCAAAGCAACTTTCCACCAAGCAATACTCCGGATTCAGCTTGACATAAAGCCCCATACATGCAGTCCAACCCACACCAGCACCAGCATGCCTTTCAACTCAAAAACGCAGCCTCGAAATTCTCAAAACTCTAAACCCTAGACCCTAAACCTCAAATTTAACAGAACGGAAACCCTAAAACTTAAACACAGTGCAGGTGTGGAGCCCCAAAGCCCTGAACACGGCTGGCTCACTAAGCCCAAACCCCGAGCACTAAGGCCTGCCACAAAACTCTAAGCCCCCAAACTTCACCCGAAACCCTAAACCCTAAACCCTAAACCCCAAACCCCAAAACCCTAAAACACGAAACTCCAAAACGTCCAAGGAGTTCAGGCCTGATATAGCTGCTATCCACTCGTTGGGATGCCAAGGAGTTTGAGAGCACCTAGGGTCTAGGGTTTTGCGGTTTGCAGGAAGTGCGGGGCTTCGCGGATAATAGCTTTTGGCCTTAGGTTTTTGGGGGTTGGGGTTACAGGGGCTTGGGATTTGTAGAAGTTTAGGGTTTAGCGGTTTGGCAAACAGAACCCTTGTACTGACCCTTGTTAATAGGTTGTCTTTTACAGGCCATAAACCGCATGCTGGGTTCGGAGACGTGTGGAACGCGAGATTTTGCAAGTGTCCTGTTTGGGGTTTACCCTAAGGCTCCATGCGCCCACATAGTATACACTTCTCATTCGGCCTTTTCGTATAGGAACCACTTTGAGGCCTAAGTTTGTACTATACGGGCACATGGAGCCGCAGGATGTGTGGCCGCATCCACTGTCAGCAGCGTAAAGAAGAGCAGATCTAAAGCTTTGCGTGGGGGTTTCTACAGAACACAAAGCTTTGCTTGGGGGGTTTCTTCGGGATTGAGGCTTTAGGGTATTAGGGTTTATACACGCTTATTATGGCTTCAGGGTTCTATGGTCGAGGGTTTGAGGATTTAGGGTTCTAGGCGATTAAGGGCTTTCAGGGGTAGTTTAGGGTTTCGGGGTTTTGGGTGTGGAGTAGGGTTTAGGATTCCTGGGGTCCTGCTCTGGCCGGATTTCTTTCGCAGGACCGTCTGCAGGACTTGGGAGATCAGACGAATGACCCTAAACCTAGAAACTCTAGTGCCGCAAGCCCGAAACCGAAAAAACATAAGCCGCAAAATCCTAAAACCCGAGGGAAAGCATCCTCAACCCTGATGTACCTGAACACGGAGCCGAACAACCTAAACCGCCAAACCCAAGCCGACCTCCATCAGAAATCCTTGGCACGTGAAGTGAAAGGGAGAAATGGGAACCTGTACTCGTGGGTGGGGGGAAATGCAAGGCACTCCCTCCCGAGACACCTTCAGCTAGCTTTCTAGAGCCTGCTCGTACGGAACTCATCTTAACAGCCTCTGCGCATCTAACTTTCCGCAACCCTAAATCCTAAAACCTGAAACGCTGAAAAACTTTCTGTATAGAGAACCCTTATTTATAAGCCCAAAACCCACAAACCCAGTCCCCTGACGCCGTTATATTATATTGGCGCCTGAACAGTTAGATTAAGGCTTTGAAGTATATAAGACGTCACGTATAAACCAGGACCAGCAACAGGTCATGTCATATTCCGAAGGCCACCTATGTTAAGCACGTGCGTGTCCGACTTCAGGCCACGGCATATGGCGAGCCCCCTGCCGGCTGCCAGAAGCCCTCGTGTATCACCCTGGCCATCGAACGATGCAGTTTAGGAGGGTTTAGGGTTGGGGTTTGGAGTTTAGGGATCTAGGCTTAGGGGTCATGGAAAAAACCTTAAACCCAAAGCCCTAAACTTTGTTCAGGCTCTTACAGCTTTCAGCTTCAATGTGCTTCCAAAACCTCTGGAATTCATTGAACAGTCGCTGCGAGGATTCCTAGCGGCCAAAGCTTCTTCAAAATTCGGCAAATGTGAGCGCTTAAATTATTACCGATACCATTTCGGTGGGTTCCTTCTTGTAACTGTAGTATAATGGGCGCCAAATCCCTATCTAATTATTAAGGCCCCGATACTAAGCCCTTGTAGAACCCTTATAATAACCCGTATAGTATCCCTTTACAGGAACAATATTCCAATTGTTAAGGCCCCTATTCGTGAGAGAATGCAAATGGGGTGGTGTTTAGAGCCTATGGGGCTGTACACCCCGAAGCCTTACCGGATCTTGCAGACGCAAAACTAAATCGCTAAGCATGAACCTCAATTATTAAAGCTACATAACGCTAATAACAATTAAAAACAATAATGTTAATAAAACTGATCGGGAAAATAATAATAAGAACAATAGGGCCTGCGCGGCAGGTTGACGCCTGAGTTTTTAGGATTTCCGTCCAGCAATCCCTGACATGGCTCTTAATTATGCATCAGCCCTTATGCCGACATGCGCGACTCTTACAAGTGCAGATTCAGTTCGTGAAGCTCTGCATCCGTTAGGATTCGCTCGGCCACAAAGTCTGAGAACTGAGCCACCTTGTAGAAGACACCAGATCTGCAGGGGACGTGGGAGTATGAAATTGCCCGGCAGAGTCGTAGGATCGTGCTTCGTCAATCGCACAAGTGCTGGACGCACACACCAAGGCATAAACGACCATGGTTGCGTCGCGTGGCCCCTGTTCTTGAAAACAAAATTGAAAGAGGTTTTGATACAATCACTTTCCGCATGTGCCCCTGCAGAGCATGAGCATTGTGCAAGGCATCCCTGTCTAGATGGAGCCTGGCTTGGCTTGGTCTGTCGTCGCGTCGAGTTCGGGTGAACGACTGGTGTCACCGAAAACATGCGTGAGTGAAAACATACAAGCAACACACGGGTGAGAATTTACGTTACCGCGAAAAACCTATAGCACAAAACGAAGCCTCAGAACGCGGATCGTGGTGAATGCCGTGGTGCCCGCGGGTCATCAGCAAGTTGCGGCCTTGATACTCATAGATCAGGGCCGCCCACTTCCAGAGCGTCTGCAAGATGGTCAAGGATGCGGAAGAGGAAGTGGGTCTTGAGGTTGTTCTCCAGGACGGCGCCCCAAATCCAGATCTGGTCCTTCTGAGGACGATCGTTCTTGGAGAGCTTCCCTAGTCTCTTCTTATTGAGGAAAGATTCATCTGCTTTGAAGATTCGCTTCTGGTTCTTCTTCAAAGTGTGCTTCTGAGTAACTGCGAAGGTCTTTTCAGGAAGAAGATGGCTGGGCGCTTTTGGGTCGTGTGGTCGATGGCTTCTTGTGGGAAACACGACCTCGCATGTGAGTCTGCGTTTCCATGTTCTTGAAGAAGGTGTTGTTGAAACCACTGTCAAGTTGCAGACTGGCCCAGTGGCTGACGACCTGCTGGAAGGAGGCAAGCCAGCGATGGATGGTTTCATGATGGCGGTCATGTAATTCAACACAGATGGTGCTGCGGGGTAGTCCTTCGCCCACATGACACAAGGCATCCAGTTTGTCCAATCGAATAAACAGATGGCGGCTGCGTTGTATTCCAGGCCATTGCACCGAGGGCACCAGCCATCGTATCGGGGACCTTGCCATTGGTAGCGATCCCGCCGACAAGAGAGCACATAAGTCGAGTCACATTCCTCACAGTCGTATGAAGGTGGTACCACGCGGAATTGCTGAGCCACGAGTAGAGCTATCGTGGTCTCGGTGTTAGGAAAAGAACCCATGTTGCGAACAGTGCTGTGCTTCACGATGCGAAGAATGCCCACCGGGTTGTGGAAGTCGCACCGCCCGACAGCCTCACGCGGCAAAACGCAGAATTGTTTATTATATGAATTCACCGAAAGAAAAATAATCAAATCAAGCATCTATCTCCTCATCAGTCGTGTCCTCGAAACGGGTATTCGTGGTCTTGGAGGCAGAAACACTTTGGAGGTCAAAGAGCTTGAACTGACGACATTCGAGCTTCTCAAAGGTGTACTGCAGGATTTGTTGCCTACTTTCGGGTTGGCCACGCGCCATCTGTAGATGTAGGCCTGGCCGTGCAGTGCCTCCAAGAACACGCTGCGCTTGCACTTGCATCCGAAAATGTAGTGTTTGATGATGCATTGCTTCTCGTGCGAGATGGGGATGCTGAAAATTTACAACTTCGTGTCATTTGGCATCGGCTTGCAAAGACAGAACGGGGCGGGAAGCAGATCTATAGTGGGTTTGGAGTACTTTGTCTCCAGCTCCCGGAAGTCGATGTGTCCTGTGTAATGGGGCAGCATGTCAAAAACGTGGACGGACGGATTGTCCGAAGCACTCATCTCCTGAAGGGGTAGGCTTGGCGGCGAGAAGATTCCGGCAGGCAAATCCAGCACCACCGGAGAGGTCACCGCCCGGCATACCAGAGGATCGACTGTTCTCACGATCTCGTCACAGGACAAGACCACGAGCCATGACATGGAATGCAGCAAACGGTGAGCGACTGAGTGATGATGATGCATCAAGGCTTCTTGTATATTAAAACAATGCAACTCAGGACGTGTATGAAAGGCGCAACAGTGCGATGCTCATGAGTACGAAATAGTTTTCCGACATCGCGACTTGCATCCGTCTTCTAGCAGCACACGTAACCTCATGTGACAAGGCTCTGACGCGCGTTTGCAGAAACTGTCATCCATCGTCGTCGTCGTCGTCGTTGCAAAGCACTCCAACCGCACCCCGAACCCTCGAACCCTGTAGGACACCAGATGCCGACGTTGCAAACGTCGGCAGTGACGAGGTGCGGAGCTGCGCGCAGAGCTGGAGCACACCAAAGAACCACAGATTCAAAGACAAACAAAAACACAAACAAGTCTACCCCATGGCTCCGGGCCCGGTAATATGGGTCAGCGTTGTTTTTGTTTGGGTGCTTTCGGTTTCTCTGGTTATTTGGACTTCTGGGCTTGTGTAAGCTGCTGTCGTGCGGAGTTACGTGCTTTAAACTACCGGCCTTGGGCATGACTTAGAGAACGCTGGCACAGTACTGAAAACGCTGCGGTCGAGGTATAGCGCTTAACCGAATAAAAACTGATAATAATAATGGTAAGATTAGTAATAATAGTAATAATAGTAGTAATAGTAGTAATAGGAATAATAGGAATAATAGTAATAATAGTAATAATAGTAATAGTAATACTAGTAATAATAGTATTAATAGTAATAATAGTATGAATAGTACAAATAGTATAGCAATAACAATAATAACAGTAATAACAGTAATAATAGTACTGATACTAATAATAAGACAGAACAATTAGCCTTCCTGGACCTGAATTTATAAACCTAGACCACTCCGAGCACCCAAGCCGTCCCAGCATGTGGTCGTCGGGTGCTTCAGGATCTTTGACCCCACTCTGGCCGACAGGAGTTGCCTTTTTAGGGGGGGGGGGGGGGGGG